CACTAATTATTAGCTTTCATATATGAGAGTCTTTTTGGTCAAGATTATTGATTGAAGACATTAAAATGATAAGCGTCGGAGGAAACAAAATGCTTAAACAATTATTCTTTATATAATTTTGTTTCTTTTCTCTCATCGTTTTCTTTTCTTTCCCTATTTGTTGTAAATTTATATAAGCCAGAAGTTGGTCAGCAGTATTAATTAGTTTGACGTAACTAATCATGCATGTCTCCATTTTAAATTTGTGGCAACACACACACACACACACACACACACACACACTAGTGATTCTTAATTATTAGCATTTATTTAATTGCACTAAAGCAAAAATGTAACCCCAATCACTTCATTTGCTTGCCACTAGTACTCCAATTACTCAATGACTGATTGAAACGCATGCTCGGAATATTTCATTTTAATAATTAATCTTTAGAATCGTGGGTTAACTATATATAATTATACGACCATGATATATAAATATGGCTTAGAATTTTAGAACCCTTTTTCCTGTCTGAATATATGATATTATTTCCAAGGACGATTGATATTAATTATAATATGTGCAGAGATGCAGTTAGTTCAATTGAAGGTTTAACATTAATGATTGAAAAGATTTGACTAAAAAATGGGATAAATGTTAGGTTCAGACACTAATAATGTTAATTTATCATAATATTATTTATACCATTACTGTTACATCAAACTTTCCATTGGTTCCTAATATTGATGCTTATAGCTAAACCTACGTACCTAACAAATCAGATTATAGATGATCAGAGGCACTCATAAATTCCAAATTATTACTATACGCCGGACCTTTTTTTATTATTATTATTTATAACTCTGAGTTTGTTGGATAGAAATTGAAAAATTTTGTTGAGTTGATTTTAATAGTTTTATGTATTACAAAAGATGATATAATTTATCATATCAAAATCATTTTTTAATACAAGACTGACATTTGTTAGGTTATATCATAATGTGATAATTCCTCATATATCCCCAACCAAAGGATGGATAGATGGATTAATTATGTGGAAGTATCCAATACGTGGCTTGTCTAAATGCATAATAAAATATATCAAATATTAAAATGAAAAACTAAACCGTTCATTAAAATAGCTTAATAAGCAAGGTACATAGTAATGATTAAGGATAGTGATCAATACCAAATTTTTTGTCGTATAATATTATACGTCATTCTTATGTGTCTATTCTCAATCATTATTTAAAGATATCACTTAATTAATTTAGTGATCCACCGAACACTGTGTATCATAAAGGGATGAATATTGATCCAATATATTAATAAGAAGTTAGCTCACAGACCCTCTGATCTCATATATAAACAGAAGTGATTGTTTCATAAAGCTTAAGAAAATTTATTCTTAATTATGTTTAAGATTTAGTTTTTAAATGATAACGATAATCATGTATTGCCGCATGAGAATAGGTAGAATTTGCTTGTATTTAAAACTATACTAAATTTTGTGTGAGTTATTACTTATATACTTCCTCCATCTATATATATAAAATATTTTTAATCTAATTATGAAAAAAAAAATTGATTATCTAATTAAAAATATAATAATATTTTAATTTTGTCCTTAATTATTATAAAAAAATAAATTTATTTTTTAAATTAAATTAATAAGGATACTTTTTTTAAATTTAATAAAGATATAATAATTCATTCATTAAAAAATATGTTAACAATTTTTTATATTTAAAAATAAAAAATATTTTAAAAAATATTTTATATATAAAGACGTAACGAGCATAAGATCAAGGGAATATATTATAAGGACGCCTAAATCCATAAGCTTCTCTTTGAGCTATAAATGATGTCTTGACTTTGTGATTTTCTGACACTCAATTGACCTAATTTGTTATAAAAAAATTATATGTAACAAAAATTAAAGTGAGTCTCATATATTTATACAAGTTATACTTTTAACATTATTCTTACCATCAATTTCGCCACTTATTATATTGTTCTTCCTTTTAAATATTTGACTACAATTTTATTAAACGTAATTATTTGCACAATTTCAATACTTTTTTATTATAATTAAACTATTTTATGAGAACTATATTTGAGAATATCTTCAAACTTTTTTCATAACTATGATAAAAATTACATCAAAAGAGACTTAGTAAGTCTGTACAAATATAGAAAATACTCTACAAACAATTGCCCCCAATTAAATTTGACCCTAACCTAATCAAATAGTCATATGAAAAAGTTGTCTGGCTTTGGAGAGGGAGCGTATATTATAGGATAAAAAGAGCGGATATGTTCTTAAACTATAAGTCAATGAGTATCTCAAATTTTAAATGTTATGGAAAATAGTATAATATAACTTTTACTATTAACAAAAATTAATTTTAATTATTAATTGATTAAAAAATAATTTTAAAAATTATAAAAAGGGACAAAAAATTATAATAAATGACTCAAAAATTTTATACAAAAATCCAAAAAATTATAAAAAAAAAGACTAAGAAAAAATCTATGGTAACCTTTTCTTTTATAATTTTTTGAAGTCATTTTTTAATTAATTAATAATTAAAGTTAACTTTTATTAATGATAGAATACATATAGATAGTATTGTTTTTAAAAATTAAAATAATATTATATTAAAAATAAGTTTAGGATCACAAACGTTTCCACACCTTTAATTTAAGGACTAATATGTTTTTTGACCTTAGTATTCATATTTATATTGATAATAATAATAAAAATAAAAATAACAAAGTGGTGGTTATTTTCGGAGGGAAATATGATAGAATGTCATATTCTGGTGTTGGTTAAAGAAATGTAGTTAAAGGAAAGAGGGTGATGGGATCCGTTTCCAAAGAGAGAGTGATTATGTTGTTCCCTCTGGGTCCCTTCTTTAATGCCTCTGTGGTCCCCACTTCCAACCTTAGGTGGCGCTTGTGGGCGCCACTGCTGCTGCCGCCGCCTCCTCATCACTTTTCAGCCCAAAACCTATCCTCACGCCTCTTCCATTATGTCTACTACTAACTCGTATTCTCTAATTACTTTTATTTTACAAAGGCAAAAATGAAAATATATATATATATATATAATCACTAAAATATTTGTGACAAATTATCTGAAATTCTCCAGTAAAACTTATAGACAAAAAATGGGTTAGAATGCAGCATATAAAAGGCTGATCTTTCATATTCTGCATTTTAGATTGTATTTTCTACATTTTTTTCTTTCATGTTTTTTTTTAGAGAATTATAAATCCTTCGCTATTTCTCAAATATCTTTGCCATTACATCCTTATTCTCAATGTGTGCTCCAATGTATATTACCAACATGACATCTTGAGATAAAAACTATCGATGGGCTATAAAAAATTGGGTTATGTTATTTATGATTTACTATAAAAGAATATCGATTGAATTTTATACAAAATATTAAATCCATGGATTTGTTTACAATGTATAATTTCTAATGAATTGTGAATAATGAATTAATACAAAATATAGAGTAACATTTACTTGAATGGGTACTATTTGTATACTATAAGCTTTGCAACTTTTTCTAGGTTATATATATAATTTATATGTAACTTTTTTTTCATCCCATGCTTGACATGGAGAAATTGTTTCCAGTTTAGAAAGGGGGATTAATATTGAATCATCATCATCATTATCCAAAACTCGGTCTTCATACATAGATCATAATAGTAGGTTTATTATTAGTGAATTTGCTTGGAATTTATTTCATTACAATGGTTTTTATTATTTACGTTAAACTAATTTTTATAAATAATATCAGATTAAAAGATATAGTCCTAAATTATGCATTGCATGTGAAACAGTAATATTCAAGGAGATACTATACAAAACAATACAGGAAAAAGATGTAAATATTGGCTTGCAACTCAAAGCCTTGCTTGTATTTCAGTTTAAATTATAGTGTAAATTAAATACAAAAATGTAGAGGAAAACTTTGAAGTAAAAAGATTGATAAATTTAAAAATGAAATGATGGGCATGGAGCCCAAAAGCAAGTTTAGCTTTGTCTCTTACTGAAAAAAAATTGCCACTTTCCAAATATATCCTACATAGTACTTCCTCTATTCCCTTGATATAAGTTGAAATTTAAATAAAAACCACAATTAGGCAATGAAAAAGAATGCATTATTAAATATTTAGAGTGTAATTTATAAGAATTTTTTTATAAAAAGTATTTTTGAAAACATTCATTGATTATACTCAAAAATCTATATTGGAACTTATCTACAAAGACAAAATAAAATTGAAAATTAGAACCGAAAATAGCTTATACAGTTTTTGATCTTGTATAATAATAATTTTTCAAGAATTTATACATCATCGTACAATAATTATAGTAAGTATCTACCATTCCTTATCTTATACTTCTCTTATTCTATTTATAAGACACAAAGAGAAAAAAATTTAATTTTATTTATAAAATACTTGTCAATTCTCAAGATTTTTCTTTACATATTTATTCTTATTAAATATTGTAAATAAAAATATCAATAATAAAATTTAAGAATATTTATTGAGAGTAAAGGAAAAAATTTATTAAATATTAAGATAAAATTAATGAGATTTAATTTTTTTAATTTTAATAAAATATATTAAAAATAATTTATAAATAAAATTAAAAAGTATTTAAATAACGTGTGAATTTGTATGAATGCTTTTTATCTTGGCTCCCACCCACAATTGAAAATAGTGCTTCACGTGTGAGTTTGTCAACTCTGGTATGCTTACAGCTTTCTTGGTCAAACTATCCTCTTCTTGTACACACTCGCAACAATATTCATGTTTCTCTCAATGTTTATATAATTAATAATATTTAAAATAAACCGCCAATTGGTTCTTTTGTATCGAAAAGCAAAAAATATATTATTCCAAAAAATCAAAAGCGACCATCTGGGTCGTCCCATGATCATCCAAGACGCTGATCAATAATTATAAAGACTCTTTTCAAGGGCACCTTCTCACTCCAAACCTCCTTTCTTCTTTTTCCACCTTCCTCTCCTCCTCCTCCTCCTCCTCCTCCTTCATTTTCTCTATTTATCTCTCTCTCTTCTCTGTGGGTTATTGCTTAAGCAGACTCTGAGATGGAGCTTGGTTTGAGCTTGGGAGATCACGCTTCAAAGCCTTCTGAAACTTCCGGCCTTCTGGGATTAGGCTTCACCACTTTATCCATGGGCCCTATCTGTACAAGAGCATCAAATCGACAGCACGAAGAACCAGAAGAGAAAGAAGCTAAAAAGCAAAAGGGAAAACAGAGTGTCGAAGACCACGAAGATAGACCTGAATATGTTCAGCTTGATCTTCTTCCTCACACTCCAGTCGCTGTTTCTCGCACTAACCCACCTTCCCAAATCTCATTTCCATGGCCTCCTTCTGAAAATGGTGAGCACCCACTTCTTAAATCTTCCCAAAAAATCGTTCTTTAGCGGTTTAACCTCTGTTTTTGATATCGAAGACTCTGTTTCTGACATGCAGGAAGTTCTTCAAGAGGCGTGGATATGAATAGTTTGCCTCCGCCGCTGGCGGCGGCGGCAGCGGCGGAGGAAGATGAGGCAGCGATGTCGTCGTCTCCGAACAGCGCTGCATCGTCGTTTCAGATGGATCTCGGTGTGTTTAACAGAGGAGGGAGTAGTATTAGCGGTTGCAAGAGGGATTATGATGGAGAGGTATATTATCAAAGGGCTGCTTCTTCAAGAGCAAGCGATGAAGACGACAACGTTGGTAGTACGAGGAAGAAGCTAAGGCTGTCCAAGGAACAATCTGCTTTTCTCGAAGAGAGCTTCAAAGAGCACAGCACCCTCAACCCAGTAAGTATCTAGGAGAATCTCAAACTGGTAACTGGTATCTCCTACGCATGCGTATCTGTAAATTAAATTTCCTCTAATTTTCTTCCTAAATTTTACGGTGCAGAAACAGAAACTTGCTCTTGCAAAACAGCTCAATCTTCGCCCTCGCCAAGTAGAAGTCTGGTTCCAAAACAGAAGAGCAAGGTATGTATCTATATATATTATATATATGCACCCAAAAAGAACTTCTTTTGCTGGAGATAACCAAACTGGGTTGCTGGGTTTGGACGTGCAGGACCAAGTTGAAGCAGACAGAGGTAGACTGTGAGTACTTGAAGAGGTGTTGTGAGACACTAACTGAAGAGAACAGAAGGCTTCACAAAGAGCTTCAAGAACTGAGAGCTTTGAAGGCTAATTCAAACCCATTCTTCATGCAGTTACCAGCCACTACCTTGACCATGTGTCCCTCTTGTGAGCGAGTCGCCACCAACAATTCCTCCGCCGTCGCCGCCACGGTTGTTACTTCCTCTGCAACTCCCTCTACCACCAAAGTCACCGAAACAAGGGCCGCCATTGAACCTGCGTCATCCAAAGCCATTGGATTCCCTCTAAGCAAACCCAAGTTCTATCCTTTTGCTCATACCAAAACCCACCATCCTCATCCATCCTCACCCTCTTGAACTCAATTTCGTGGAATTGAGCTGCTGATAAGCAGAACTTTATAGATTTGATCAAATTCGGTATTGAGTGCTACTGATTCATGCTGGAGTTGATGATGATCTTCCCAGAAGATTTATTCTTGTACATAGGGGTGTTCTCTGATGACGATGATGGTGAGACTGATAGCTTTATTGGGTTTACTGGGAGTTTTGATATTGATTGGATTTTTCTTTCTTTTGTTATAATTTTAGTTGTTGTCACTTGGATCACGCCACATGTTTCTGGATTTTCATCAGATGTAAAAGCTAGAAAGAGAAGTAATAGACAGTGAAAACAGAAATCATAGAGGGAATGAATTATACAGGGATCTCATACTGATAATCTGATATTATATATTCGTTGTTGAGGGGACTGGGGAGAGAGATGAAGATTGAGATTTGAGATCATCGATCAGAATCTTGAAAATCTTGAAATTTGTGGAGTTAGGTGATTAATTAGAGAGAGGGAGAGATAGGTGGGGGGTGTAAGGTCAGGTCATAAGGGTGAGGTTGAAGGCTACTTTTCAGAAAGAGGAAGACTTTAATTCATGAATTGGTTTGCTTTGTAATGATTTCATTCTTCTTAAAGGCGTGAACCTACACGAAGGCCTCAATCATTCGTCATCACCATACTTTCTGGGCATGGCCGCATCATTCGCTAAAGCTACGTCAACAAAGTTCGAGATCACTTCCATTTGTGAAAATCCCACTTGGCAACCCCACAATTTTATTAAATTTTTCTTACCTTGCTGTTTTATCTCCCAACTTTTCTCTTATGGCATCACTTGGTGAGTTGGTGTCCTAAAATATTGACCTCTTCAAATTAATCTAAATCCTATTGTGTGAAATCTTTATTACTAGCTGCGGTGGTTGCATATCATGTCTAGTTATAAGTTGGGGGGATGATAGTTAAATTTTAAAATAGAAAATTAATAATAGTCAGGCCTTTAATAATTTTTTTTAAAATAGTTTCCATCCAATTCAAGAATTTCAATTATAAATAAAAAAATTTAAATTTTAAATATAACTTTCAACTTACAATTATAATTTAACTTAATGTTTCTAACTCATTTTTTATAAAATTTTATTAGAAGCTTAAATGTCAGTAATTTTTTTTAAATTTTATTGTCCTTTCTAATAATTTTGCTGGTGTTGTATGAAAATATAATTTAGGTTTGGTCTAAACTAGTTTATTTGGGAAAATACAGAATATATTAGTGATAAATTAATGACGAAGAATACTCTACAAGGAGTTGCATGAGATATGGTTAAAAGTGGGACATGAGAGGGAGCATGGTCATAACCATGTCTGAAAAAGAAGGGTGTCCTTTTTGGAACCCCAATAATGAGGGGATGAAGCGGTGAAGTACACTTTTCATTAATCAATCACTGTGTCTATCAATCCCTTTGCATTTTTTCACATGTTCTCTATCTTGTCCTTATTTTATTCTAAATTTTGTTTACAAAATCTTATTGCCCATCTGACATGTAATTGTTTTTATTATAATATAAATTATTATTAATTAATTTATATTGTTAAAAAAAATTAACTAAAGTTTTGATTTCCTAAAACTTTTTGCATTTTTTTAGTAAAATAATTATAACATTAACTTATTTAAAACACCATCACTAATTACTTTGTATGGTATGAAATATAATAAAGTAAGACTATATTTATATATATAACTTATTTAATATTTTATATTTTGGATAGAATATGATTTCTAAAAAATGTCCGTAATAGAACACTTGTTTAGTGGTTGAAAATATGAGACATTTTATAGTTTATTAAATGCTTCCCCCCCACCCCTAAAATGACATTATTAGATTAAGCGTGAGAGATAATTTTAAAATATATAATAAAAAATTCACCCAATAAAAAATACTTTCTTTTGCGATTAGTATTACCTATTTTTTCAATTACACCTTTATCCTATTTATTAAATGATGTTCTTAAGAAAAATGACTAGTAATTTGTATATTAACTGTTTGATGGCTCATTCATTAATGAGGATATAAAAGAAAAAATTTAGTAAATGCATCAGATGAAATGTGTTCTTTTTGCCCAATCAGATCAGATAAGATTTGTTTGTTAATAAGACAAAATCCCAAAACTTTCTTATTAAAAAATGGAGGGAGTTTATTCTTGCTCCTATAAAACATGCATTTTTACAAAGAAAAAAGTATTTGATTTTCAAAACGATTAAAGAAAAAAAAAAGTAATAATCCATGAATCATGAGTGCAAGTGTGCAACATCGATACGTTTTTCTGACATTTTTTGACCAACTTAAGAAATATTTAATTACAATTATATTTTCTAATCACAAAGGGCAAGTTTGAATTTTAATTGATATGTTAATCGGTTGTATTATATATACACTCTAATGTCGACCTTTTGGGGACCCTTATTCATGTTGTGATGATTAATTCCACTTCAATCAATTTAAAACGTTTATATCGCCGTATACTAAAAACTAAAATAATCAGACTATAAGGAAAACTAAAATAATCAACCGATTTATTGTGTTTTTCACGAGACCTTCAATATTAGAACCCACAGAGATTTCTATTCTTTTCACAATGAGAAATTATTATTTAAAAAAATACAAAATAAATAAATAAATAAATTATACTCACAAAATCCATTACCATTAGTGACCCCAGCGTTTGAGCATGTCTGCGTGATATTAATAATAAGTAATCAATTATAATTGATTGGAATTAAAATTATTTAATTAATTCTTGTATCCATACCAATGTTAAGGACTCCCTCTCGTCCTACTCATGAGACAAAGAGAAAATATTTTTTTTATCATATTTATAAGTTATTTTATTAAATTTTATTATAAATTTCTTCATTTGATCTCTATTGAATGTTGAAAAGAAAAAATATATTGTTAAAATATGTATATTTAATAGTAATAAAGTTAAAAAATTGTTAAATTTCTAGACATAATTAATAAATTTTAAAATTTTTCCTAATTATGGTGTAATATATTGAAAGTGCTTTATAAATAAAATTAAAAAAGTAGAAGATGAGAGTTTAGCCGATAAATAATACTACGAGTAACGATCAAGCATGATAAAACCAAACAATTAATCATTTAATCCTTTTATTTTAATTTAATTACTATCCACTTTCTTTGTGTAAAGTGCTTTATAAATAAAATTAAAGAAGTAGAAGATGAGAGTTTAGCTGATAAATAATACTACGAGTAACCATCAAGCATGATAAGATCAAACAATTAATCATTTAATCATTTTATTTTAATTTAATTACTATCCTCTTTCTTTGTGTCATTTTATATTTGCAAGAAATAATTGAAATTCGAACCATGATAATTGCAACATCCTTCAGCCACAAGTGGTGATAATTTGCCCTAAACTTTTTTATGGTCAAAATTTTCCTCCTATTTCATTTATGAACTTATTTAATGTTGAAAAAGGTATGCTAATTTACTCCAATCATGTGAGATAAATAATTACGTCAGGCATGATGCAGTTTTTTTTATAGGACATAATTATCCATCTAATCAAGTTGACTTTTCAATCCCTCCTCTCGCCAATTTCCTTCTTTTCCCCCCTGATTTTTCAATTTCCCCCAAATCATGGCATGGGGGTAAAGGGGTCTAGTTCTGTAACTATTGCAATTTTAAAAATTAAAGATAATCGGCAGTTATAAAAAGAAATTAGACAAAAAAAACTACATAATATATCAAAGACATCCTTGAATTCTCATATATTTATATTTTATTTTACTATCAGAAAATTAAAGAAACTCAAATTTTAAAAATAAGATGTCATTTTTATTGACGATCTTAGATAAAATATGCACTTCAATAGTACTGTAGAAACGCGGGAAGAGAAAGAAAGGATAAATCGATTGAAAAAATGGATAAGGAATAGGAAAATGACAAAAACACACGTGATTTTGTATTTGTATTTTACTAAGTAATTCAAATTAGTGTGCGATGCTCCCACAACAATACTCTCTTCATCTTAAATTATAAGATAATTTTAAATCAAATTTCACATATCAATAAGTATCATTAAATATACTTAACAATTTTATCTTTTTAAAATAAAAATATAAATTTTTTAAAATGTCCCATCACTTAACATATTAAAAAGAAAAGTGATGAAAATTAAGTATAAAAAATAAAGGATAATATTAAAATTGATGCATTTAATGAAACTTTAATTTATTTAAAGTGTCTTATATTTTAAAATAATTTTTTTTTAAAATATCCTATAATTTATAATGGAGGGAGTTAAATTTTATCAACACTTGAAAATTTATATTTGACCATAAATAAACAAGACAATGAGTTAAATAGCCATTTATATAAGGATGTTTTTTCTATACATCTTGTGCCTACGTTTTTAAAAGTTGATCAATTGATGAATCGACAACATCTATAATGTATTGCCACATGAGATATTTACTGGGCAAGAAGATTTGGGCTATTTAACGAATTCGGATCCCATAATTTGTGAGGTGTATACAACACCCAACAAATAATGAAATTTTGTGTATGTAAAATAAAAATATAAATGCATGGAAGAGTGCATGCGTGGGCTATCTCTGTGAATTGCCCATGTCAAGGCATGCGTGTTAATGTCACACTCACGAAAAGGACACACAACACACAACACACAGCACATGGCATGGAAAAGGCACAAATGTTTGAAAATTTGTGGCTAATAATAATAAAAACGTTGGAAAGTGATACGAATATTAATGAAAATGTAACAACCAACATAGGGACCCCATTTCCCACAAGGATCCTCGTTGGAACTCCAAAGCCAAAAAGCTTGACATCACCTCTCTAAATATATGAAATCTCAACTCGATCGTCCCATTATTAATGCATATGTCACGCAATTACCCTATCATTTTATTCAACGTTCTCTCTCTTTTTTTCACTTCTCCTTTCACATTTCAACTCTTCATGAGGGTGGGATATCCGAATCAACGCAGCAACGAAATAAGTCTCATGCCGAATAAAATTAGATTAACAATAATATATAAGTGAAAACATCTATAAACTTAATGTATTAAAACAAAAATTAATTTACAAGTCCTTATCATATTTTTAAATTTAAAATTAAGGTTGTTGTAGTTTATGGTACTTTAATCAAATTTTTACAGTTTGATTGATTAGTTATAATAATCCCTGAAAATTAAAATTATTAATAAATATTTCATTTTTTTAAAACAAGACTTTTGGAATTTATACTCGTAGAAAATTTGATTTATAACTTTTTGCTAAGAAAAATAAAATTTAATTTAATACAATTTTTATATTTTTATTAATTTTTTTAAAAATTATTTTGAAGATATAACCTAATTATATCAAATTTGAGTGATAAAAATAATAATTAATTCTAAAATTATATAATATTTTAATAAAAATATAAAAGCTTTTTATTTCATTTTTTAAATTGAAGACCTTAATTAATATATTAACATATTCAATTGATCAAACTATAAGGGTTTAATTAAAATAAAATAAATTACAAGAACATAATTCAAAGTTAAGAGAAATTAACAAGGACTTGCAAATTATTTTTTTTCCTAAAATGTTAATTGTATGCCTTTTTATTTATATTACATATGTAAGTGGTAGAAAATAAAGATAGAGATAAGTATATTATAAAAATCTAAGTCAATCCATCTAGTTAAATTGATAAACTGATAAACAAGTGTTTTGATTGATTTAATAAAATGTTTTATTTATAACTAATTTAATTATAATTTATTTATAGTTTTGACTTTTGATCAATACCACTTGAACTAATAGATACCTTGATCGGTTCAAGGAATGATATGGTTTTCAGTGCTTT